CATTGAAAACCCAGAATTAAACCCAAACTTACCTCGATAACCTCAAACCCTGCTCTGTAGTACAAACCTCCGACCTCGAAAACCAAACCTGGCTGAGGTGGTCGGGATGAGTTGAGCTTTGATTGTAGAAGAAACAGCCAACAAGTGTTAAATAAACAGAAGAGAAAAGCTGCAAGAAAAAGAGAATCGATCACATCCATGAGTGGAATATAAAGCATCATCATCTGCAAAGAAACACATGATCCTGCAAAAAAAAAACCCAGCAGTTTGGAATATTTCTAATAACTTTTGGAATAACTAGTTAAATCACAAAACGCTAATAATTCACGTTTATAGGGGAAAAAACAAACCCAAACTGTAAATAATATTTACATCAGAAATCTTTAATAAATGTTAATTTATTCTTTTCTGTTTGACTCCAAAATGACACTTTTGTCTTCAGTGTGTTTAAATCACCTAAAAAAATTGTATTTTCTTTATGTTTTTTTTGTTAGTTCAAAGAAACAAATGTGTATAGTAAGGATTGAAAAATAGTTTTCAAAGTGTAATTTTAGTTTTTTGGTTTTAATTTAGTTTTGTTAAAACTGCGATTCTCCAGATTTCATACAATATTCAATCTGACAACAAGACTGCAAAGTATTAAAATTTGTAGAGTATTTTCGCAAAGAATATTTTGCAGGATGAATAATTTAGGCTAAAAAACAAACAAACCACCGTATCAGTTTCTTTAGATACATGAAATAACTCAATGAAGCTGGAGGAGACTGAACAATCCAACATTTAAAACACATTTTTGCTTTGTTTGCTCATTTTAGTTCGTAATGTAATGTCTTATTTTATAGCAGATGTCTTCAGTTTTGCTACATAATGCAGAAAAATAAAGAAAAACCCATAAATAAGTAAATGTGTCCACGTTTTTGACTGACTGTCCTTCAACGTGGCCGCCAACGCTGAACAAACACCAGAAATTGGAGAATAAAAACACAGATATTCACTGTCTCACTTCGTCTTTATTGGACACAAAGTCAACAACAACAACAACAACAACAACAACAACAACACGTTTGAACACAACACGTGTTTATATGGTTCAACCTGCTCCGTGTTACATCGAGGGAAGCTCATATTCATGCAGGACTTCACTTTCACACACACTCACACTTAAATATGCAGAATGAGGTTAAACAATAAATACACCAATCACAACTAAACCAGGAAGCTGATTACATCGAGTCTCATCAGCCAAAAATGTAAAACGTTTTGTAAAATCATGACATGAAACGGCTTCACGGCGTCGGGAAGAATTGCAGGTTGAAGATCAATTTGCAGCTTCGTAGATGTTCTCAGGAACTCGTCGTCTTATTTTTTATATTTTTTATCCCCAGAAGGTACTTTTTAGACATTTTGCTTCACTACCTCGACCACAGCAGCGTCTTTTTCTGGCTGGATGAGCTGATCTTCCTCACTTGTTACTTACTCTTTTCCCCTCCGCCTCCCGTATTTTTCTCACCCTCCTTTCCCCCCCGAGACGCTGCCAAAAACATCTTTTCGCAAACTGTTAAGGGTGGCGGAGAAAACGAAAGATTAAGATCTCAAAGCTGTCAGGAAGCCGCCGGACCGGACGCGTTTGTGTGTGCGAGTGTGTTCTCGAAAATCCTTCTGATGAGACGCTGGATGTTTTTTTTTTTTTTCTTTTTAAGAGAGGAAGAACTTGTGAAAAGCTTTGACACGCTCGGGCTTACAGGTGTGTAACGGTGTTAGAAGCTTTCTGACAGCACTAATGAAACTGACAGCAGACGGAGGAAGGACAGGAGGGAGGACGGAGGAGGAAGAGATGGGAAAGCAAACTCCTCAGACATGTCAGGCACTCGCAAGAGCCGCCAGACATCAGATTGTGTACATTACATATATATATATATATATATATAACTCTATATAGCTCTCTCTCTGCGTAAAACTCTGCTAAAGCTACAATCCTAACTCGGCCAACATTTAAGGTGATAATGTGCAAAGATGTGTCGTCAACCGTAAAGAAGGATGCAGAAAAACGATCCTCTGCTGCAACCGTAACCCGACGTCGACCGCAAAAACAAGACGTACGGCTGCTGTTCAGCTGCTATTCAAACAAATTCCAATCATTAGAAGCGAAGGTTCACGTCTGGTTCTACCTGCTGCTCTTACTAAAGACTGATTTAAGTCTAAGAGAAGAGAAAAACAACTAATTTATCTCCTCTATAATGTTTTCTTTAGCAATCTGTAGATCAGACCTACATCAGTTTGGCCGATTGATGCTTCTAGTTTAAATAAAACCAAAAGGAAACCTCCCATTTTCAACTGACTTGACAAAAACGTATCTAATAGTTAAAAAAAAACAAAACTGCTTAAATTGATGCAATTTTTTCTATTTAAAGGACTAGTCCGTGGCCAGGCAGACGATCGCATCGGCTGCAATAAATACACCAAACAGGATCAACGCTCACTGTCCACGATGAACAGACTACATACATCACTTCAGCAGTTCTGATGTACATTTATCTTCCTAAGAGTCGCGTGAATGAAAGAGAAAAGCTGCAAGAAGAGAAGTTTTTACGTCGACAAGGCGGATATAAAGCGGCATCGTCTGCAAAGAAACGCACAATCCTGCAAAAAACGGGAGTTTGGAACATTTTGTTCAAATGTATAAACCCCCAGGAGAGTTTTTATGTCCAGGGAAGGACAAAAAGAAAGAGAGAAAGAAAACGTAGTGTCGAGTTTTCATGTGTACGAGGCGGATATAAAGCCGCATCGTCTGCAAAGAAACGCACAATCCTGTAAAATAAACGGGAGTTTGGAACGTTTCCTTTGCACGTATAAACCCCCAGGAGAGTTTCTACGTCCAGAGAAGGACAAAAACTCCACAAAAAGCAGAAGTAAGTGATATAAAGAAGTGGTTTATAGGAGGTGTTGGACCATTTTTTGAAAAAAATGTCTTGACAGATGAAATTAGCTCTGCAAGGTTTGCACTGAGGCTGATGTTTTAAAGTGCATGTAAATCAAAATCAAGATAAGAAACGACTTCATGCTGTCAAAATACACCAATTAGATTCAGATTGAGAGACCAATGCAGGATTTAGTGGCTGATCGGTGTATCTAATGGGAACTGAACTGAGCTCAAGTCGATTGTTCGTATTACTTTGCGATTCGAAAAATCGAATCTGACCAATGCCAAAGCATCTAATTTATTTATCCAAAACAACAATATTGTGTCCTCTGGTGACTTTTTCTTCCATCTCTGCACTGCTTCACCTGCAGCTTCTAAAGGTTTTGAGCTTTTAGGACGAGCAGCCTGAAGTGAGAATGTGTGTTTAACGGTGAAAATACACTTGGGTGCAAACACATCTGTGCGAAGCTCAGAGAGGATGGAAAAGCTTCAAAAGGTGTCACAAAAGAAAGGCAAACACCAAAGCACTCGCACACACTCACAGCTATGCAGTTTGAAATGTGAAAAGCATGTCGTGGTCGTAGAGGTCGGAGCCGGAGGCCACCGGAAAGGATTCACTGCAGCGATGAAGAGACTCCCAAAGAAACCTCAATATAAATACATCGACGGTTTAATGAGTGTTTCTGCAAAGGAAGTCCACAGACGCCTGCGATACGTAGAAAACAATCAAGAATAAGACGTTTTTATTGAGAATTGGATTCAACTAGAAGCCAAACGATTGAACGGCTCGTAGATTTGGGACATCCAGCAAGAACAGCAAATAAATAGGAATGTGGAGGTTTAAGAGATAAAAAAATACATCAACGCAAATCAGAATGTAAACAAGCCTTCTATCTCGGCCTAGACATCTATCACAGGAGATGGAACTGGATCAGAACCTGAGCCCGAGCCGGGTTTTTACCGCTCAGCTCCACCACCTCAGAGCTGTCATTAGTTTTGGAGACAAACACTTGAGCAAGTCTCGGTGAAAACACCTGAACCTTTACGAGCTGAGACACTCGGCAGGTGAACACGGAATAAAAACCCGGCAGCAGGCCCAGGCCCGTCAGAACTGGGGCTCAGATGGAGGCGAGGCGGAGCTTAGACCATGAAGCGGTGCTCTTTGCCGTCGTGGGCCATCAGGATGACGTTGCGGTTGGAGGTCCAGATGAGGCGGGCCAGCTTCAGGTGGTTCTGGGAGCCTGGAGACGCCGGCTGGACCGGAGGAACCTGGTAGGTCTTAATGCAGCGGAGCTGAGGAGCCGAGTTCAGCATGCCGATGCTGCCCAGCAGACTGGTGTTCATCTGGGGACCAGCAACACATCGACATGATCACCCACACTGTGTCTGGTCGTCTAGGACAGAATACTAATGAACTAAAGTGTCAAAATACTGAATGTTAACACAGAAGTATCAAAGTTCTGGGTATTAATCAACTAAACTGACAAAATACAGGATATTAACACACAAAACTGCAAAAATCCTGATAATTAATGAACAAAAGTGTCAAAATTCAGGAAATCAACAAAAAAAAGTGTCAAACTCCAGGATATTAGCACACAAAAATGTCAAAAA